AACAGCCAGCTGGGTCATGAACCAGCAGCTCTCCTGGAGACGTCCCATTGAGAAAGACCCAGATTGGGCCTGGAACCCAACGCAGACATCTTGGATCTGCTGTTTTCTCTCCCTAGCTGGCCTCCTACCTTTCGCTGTTGCTTTTCCCAGGCTGGGTCAAGCAGTAAGTCCCGGTCCCAGTCTTCTTCCTGTGCCATATATTCATCAGTCACCATGTAGGAGTGGTTGTATTGGATGTGTGTTTCTATCTGCGTCGTCGTCATGTTGCCTTGTTCTGCGAAGCCCTGTCCTCTGTGCCTATTCTCTCCCCTACGATTCACGCGGTTTCCCCCCCTTGCTCAAGCTTTCGGTCTCCTTTTCCGTTCGCTCCCCTCTCGGCTCCCCTTAGAGGTCAAGATCCCCCAAGTCCTTCCAGGCTGTGTGTCTGCCTGCTTTGCAGCTGCACCTGTCAAAAACCCCTCCACGTGACCAGTCCTCAATAAGTATTATCAGCCCTGGGAAGGGAGATCAGGTTCCATCTTAAAAAGGCCACGGGGAGGGGACAGCGCAAGTGTGCCTACCAACCAGATAGGGGTGGTGAAGACAACTGTTGGGAAGCCAAGTATTCCCCCTTAAAGCAGAGCCACCAGCTCTTAAAAAAGAAATTGCTCCAGTGGGCTGAATGTCTCTCCCACAAAATCCATGCCAGATGCAGGAGAACTCTGCCGAGAGCAAGAATCTCTGCGCAGGGAGGAAATCTCCCATTTTCTGCATAAGAGGAAAAATCTTACTTATAGCACTGTCATTCACCTTCCATTAAGGTTAATGACAGTCAGATCCAAGAATAAATGTATAGCTATTAACAAACAGAACAGAACAATAGAATTGGAAGGGACCTGGGAAGTCTTGTAGCTCAATCTTCTGCTCAAGCAGGAGACCCTATACTATTTTGGACAAATGGCTGTCTAATCTTTTAAACCTGCAGTGATGAAGCACCCACAACTTCTGTAGGCAAGGCATGCCACTGATTAAATGTCAGCTGGCCTCCGTGTTGAGAAAGTAAGGCCAAATTAGTTTCCAGATGTTCTCTTAGGAATTTGGACTGCAACCGTGTTTCCCAAATAGATTCTGAAATTTCCCAGCATTTCCTAGGACAGGGGTAGGCAACCTTGGCTCTTTTATGACTCGTGGACTTCAACTCCCAGAATTCCTGAGCCGGCATGGCTCAGCTTGGAAACCTCTCCTTTTCCCCTCAGCGTGGCTGGCTCAGGAATTCTGGGAGTTGAAGTCCACGAGTCATAAAAGAGCCAAGGTTGCTTACCCCTGTGACCTGAATCCTTTTTGAGATCCTGGCACTTGGTCCTGTGAAACGTGTTTTTTTTCCCAGGTGGGTGGAATAGGGCCTCTTTATTTGGTTCTAAGTAATGAAGGAAAAAACCTTCTGCACATGTTCATTCATGTATCTATTTCACAAGGTCTGTGTAGGGGTTCCCCAATATTAAAACTAAATGCCGCACGAATCTCAGGATGTTTGGAATGTCAGAAACTGCTATTATTACCATCTTCCTATAGAAATGGTTACCTCTTGCTACAAAAAGCGCTGCAAGAACCCAACCTGTGCTTTAAAAGGTGTTAGGCGTATCGTGTCTCTTGGAAAGTCACATGTTGCATTGGGAGGCCTGAAATCCTCCCCGTGAGCTTTAAAAACGTGCCAGAAGAAATACCTGTCTAAAGGTCATTTCAGGAGGAGAGGAAAAGGTTTTCAAGACTGACCTTATTCTGTTTGGGAATACCGTGAATTCAGGTTTGGTTTAGGTTCCAAGAACTTTCTGCTTCTTTGTATTTCACCCGCATTTGCATAGCTCGATGCAGTCTCCGTTCATTTGCAGGCTGCTCCTGTTACGCAGGAGTTATTCTTAGGCTCAATGAGAAGGGCCTTGTGAAAGCTAGTGACTGCCTAGAGAGAGAAAAAATTCTGATTCACATTTAATGTTTCAAAGTAGACTAAACGTAGACAAAGCATTTTAATCCCTCGCTTAAAATCATGTTTCTACAGCATCTTATCTCTATATTTTAAGTACAGATATCAATCGACATTACAAAAAAAAGTACAGATAAACAGATCTCTGCCTTTGTTTCAAGTCCTTTTGACTTGATCTTTGTTGTTGTTGTTGTTAGTTGCGAAGTCGTGTCCGACCCATCGCGACCCCATGGACAACGTCCCTCCAGGCCTTCCTGTCCTCTACCATCTTATGGAGTCCATTGAAGCTCACGCCTACTGCTTCAGGGGCTCCATCCAGCCACCTCCTTCTCTGTCGTCCCCTTCTTCTCTTGCCCTCCATCTTTCCCAGCATCAGGCTCTTCTCCAGGGAGTCCTTCCTTCTCATTAGGTGGCCAAAGTACTTGAGTTTCCACTTCAGGATCTGGCCTTCTAAAGAGCAGTCGGGGTTGATCTCCTCCAGGACTGACCGGTTGGATCGCCTTGCAGTCCAGGGGACTAGCAGGAGTCTTCTCCACCACCATTGGTCAAAGGCCTCCATTCTTTGGCGCTCGGCCTTTCTTATGGTCCAGCTTTCACAGCCATACATTGCAACTGGGAAAACCGTGGCCTTGACTATACTCACTTTTGATCTTAGCAACCATAAGAAACAGAAGTCATGGTCCTAATATGCTTGCTTCTTGGCTTTTAAATAGTCAATGTTTCTTGGCAAGATTATGCAAAGACTTTGTTCCTTGTTTTCAAGAGAGGGAGAAAATTAACCAACACAAAGCCACAGGAAGCACTTTTGGGATAAAAACTCACTCTCCCACTTTCTAACACAGTAAATAGGTGCAAGAAAGTTTATTTCATTTAATCTATTCTTTAACTCATGAAATTCCCCCCAATGGGGGGTGCACCATTCCTGGAGGTACTGCAATACCAGGCTGATGCTTGGAGTGGACGGAGCAAGCCCCTATTCCATCTCCCTGTTCCAAAAATCCATTTAATATGTAGTCCTCAAATAGAGGACATATCAGATATTAAACTGATAAGAACAGATACTACACTTGATCTTAGCCAAAAGGCCGAGAAGCGATACCTTTCCCATCCAGCAGCCGCCTAGGGCATTCTTTCCTAGGAAACCTCAGATTACGAGGAGCAAATTCCTTACGGAAGCTATTCTTTATCACCTCGGAATCATCAGTGTTTTGCAATCTCATCAGATGCACTCTGACCAAGTGCCTATTTCTACTGTCCACGTTAACAGCCTCCTGTTGTGAAGTTTAACTATAAAAATTAAGAATTCTGTTAGCAACGTTCATTTCCTGACTGCCTGGGTGCTTCTTCTGACAGCGATTGGTGATACATTTACATAAGCCTTCCCATTTTCCCCCATCATGCTTTTGGGGCTGCTATGTCAGGACTTACCAGTAGAGACCTCAATCCTACTCAATTCTTGTTCCATGAGCATTCTGAAAGAAAGAAAGAAAAAGGCCGGTGAGAATAAGATAAATAAAAGAGAATGGCATAATGACATTTCTTGCACAAAACTTCCTAGTTTTCACATCTGTTCAAAAATTTAGTAGCAAAGACAGATGTTTCAGAAGCTTTGCTTGCCGTTTCCTTCAACCTTTTGAGTATGGATTATAGAAGCTTATTTTGAAAAAAAATAACTGGTTCTTCGTATTCCTTAAACACACACAACCCTGTTACAGACTCACTTGCTCCGCGTCATACATATCAAAATGAACCAGCAACAATTATTAGGAGTACTGTAGTAGCTTTGAGTGCCCCATGGAGGAGAATCCCAAATTCAGAACTGAAGAAGCTTCTTGGATGAGAAGCAAAACATTTTCAAGGAAAAAACCCAAGAAAGTCCCATTTGCCTTTTGGAAAAGCCCTTTTGGGACAATCATGATTGGATGATAGAGAATATCCATAAACAATACCAAATTCAATAATAAACAGAAGATGTATTAATCCAGGGACCGGTTCCGAGGAGAAAGGTTTTTCCACGGACCGGAAAGTGTGTGGTTTTGTATGCTGCCTGCATTCTACAATGCATTCTACATTCTATGCTCCTGAGCGTATAAAAAAAGCCATCCTATGTTGCATTCATATTGGTACAGGGGCATTATAGGCAGTGCTTTGATCGCAACCCTGGGACAATCTTGACTTTTTTTTTTTTACATCTTTTTTACATCGACAGCTGGACAGTGAATGAAAAAGGACGGTGGAAAGCGGATCCACGTTTCTGAATTATGGATCCAGAAGTGGTGAATGCTCCAACACTGGAAGTTTTTAAGAAGAGACTGGACAGCCATTTGTCTGAAATGGTATAGGGTTTCCTGCCTGAGCAGGGGGTTGGGCCAGATGACCTCCAAGGTCCCTTCCAACTTTATTATTATTATTATTATTATTATTATTATTATTATTATTATTATTATTATTATTATTAATAATAATAATAATAATAATAATAATAATAATAATATCTGGAGATAAATTGCAAAGATTTGCAGGAAAAATTAGCCCGACTCAGCAAAGGCAGAGAAAGTGGATCAACAAACCAAGATTTATTTGATCTGGGCTTGGGGTGCGGATGAATGAGGATGAACTACGAGGGGAAAAACGATCAGGGGGGCCAGAGGTTTGAGGTAAGTCGTCCTTAAGACAATGGATAGGTGGATCAAGGAGATCCCAGGCCTGTTTTTGAAGATGGAGGAGCCAGATTTAAACACAGACCGAGATGAAGAGCATTTGCCCATACAATAGCAGGCCTTTGCGGCCGCCTGTTAAGAACAATATGATCGTTTGAACGCTTGGCTAGAATCGCATCCCTGACACGCTTGTCAGTGAGGCAAGTTGCTGAGGTAAACAAGGAAAGTCTCCGAAGTCAGAGCGCCGATTGGATAGAATCGGCTCGAAAGGCGGGTTTAGCCGGAGTGGCTGCCGCCGCCGATTGGCTGAACGATTTGAGCGGGAAGGGGCGGCTGAAGCGAAGCCGGAAGAGAGGCGCGTGGGCCGCGCACGCGCCGCCATGGAAGGCCGCGACTGGGACCGGAGGGTGCTGCCCGTGTGCGCCGGGGCCGTGTTGGCTACCACGCTGGTCGCGGAGGTGCTGATGGTGCTGCTGCGGTTCCGTCCGCCCGGACAGCCGTTCCCGTTGTGGCCCATCGCCTCGCTGCTTTTCCTGCTGGCCAGCGCGCTGGAGAACGCTTGGCGCTTCATCATGGCTTCGCCCAGCACGCGCGGCGTCATGCTGGCGGGGGCGGGGCAAGGATGGGAGTGAGTGGGCGTGGTTAGGGTCGCGGCGGGGCGGGGGCCAATGGGAAAGCGGTCGCGCGTCGAGGGAGGAGCTTCTAGAAATGGCGGGAAAATGGAGGTGGGGGGGGAAATTTCCATAATGATAAGAGTTAGATTTCTTGAGAGGGAAGATGGTGATGAAGCAGTAGCGGAAGGGATCTCTGCACATGCACAGGGACACGCTGTTCCTCCATTGGGTTTCTTTCTTTTCAAAACTTCAGAAAAAAAGGGACAGAATCTGGGAGAATATCGGCCTTTCCCAACAGGACAGATGGGCTGCTTTAGAGCAAATAACCCAACTTTTAACCTTGTTGAACTTAAGCCCCCATTTCCCCCAGGTTTATGAGGTCTGCGTCTCAAGGAAGCAGGGGAGTGACTAAAAGTGTAAAGGAATGGAAGAGTATTGGAAGGTGGAATTGCTTTCTCTCAGCCCAGTCCACCTCACAGAGCTGTTGTGGGGAAAATAGGAGGAGTATTAGGTATATTTGTTGCTTGGAGTGAGTTATAAAAATTATCAGGCATTATTTAAATTTAAATAATAATAATAATAATAATAATAATAATAATAATAATAATAATAATAATAATAATAATAATAATAATAATAATAATAATAATATTTGTGGGCTGCAGTTTTCAGACAGACCACTAGATGGCAGTAAAGACACATGGGCTATTATTCTTTGCTGCCATCTAGTGACTGCCTCACGAATGCATTTTATCTGTTAAATCTTCTATTGGGCCGTCAATTGCTTCAATTTTTTTGCATCAAGGAGGATTTGGAACCCCAAAGGAAGACAAATGTGCTCCTTGGGCTGCACCCGTAAGGCTGCGTTGCCTTATTTATTTATATCCAACGTTTATTTTTTTTATAAACAACTCAAGACGGTGAACGTATTTAATGCTCCTCCTTCTTCCATTTTGCCCCACAACAATCTTGTGAGGTGGTTGGGCTGAGAGACAGAGACTGGTGTAATGTAACCCAGCTGGCTTTCCTGCCTATGGCGAGACTAGAACTCGCCGTCTTCTTGTGACTGGCCAAAGTCACCCAGCCAGCTTTCATGCCTAAGGCAGGACTAGAACTCTCTCTTTCCTGGTGATTGGCCCAAAGTCACCCAGCCGGCTTTCATGCCTTAGGTGGGACTAGAACTCACTGTCTCCTGGTGATTAGCCCAAAGTTACCCTGCTGGCTTTCATGCCTAAGGCAGGGCTAGAACTCACCATCTCCTGGTGATTGACTCAAAGTCACCCAGCTGGCTTTCATGTCTAAGGTGGGACTAGAACTCACCGTCTCCCGGTGATTGGTTCAAAGATACCCAACCAGCTCCATCAATTCTTCCCCCCTCTCCCAACACTCATTCTTTCTCCTCCTTCCAGTTACTGCTATTCCTGCCAGACCCACGTGCCGCCTCGCTGCAGCCACTGCTTCTCCTGCAACGTTTGTGTCCTGCGGCGAGATCACCATTGCCTGCTGCTCGGCCAGTGCGTGGGCTATCAAAACTACCGCTACTTCCTCTGCCTGCTGCTCTACGGGTCGGTCGCCTTGCTGTACGGCAGCTTGCTCAACGTCAACGTGGTTTGGATGCTGCTAGAGGAAGGCGGCCTTGCCCACACCGTCCTCCTGCTGATGCTGCCTTGGCTCATGCTCCTGATGGGTAAGAACGAGCCAGAGCTTTTATTTATTTAACTTTTATGCCAGCCATCTCTCCTGGATGCCATCTTTGGGAGGCTTTCATATATATATATATATATAAAAAAAACCCAATTCAGATGGTCCTTGACTTAACAACCGTTCGTTTAGTGACCGTTCAAAGTCACCAAGGCACTGAAAAAAGTGACTTATGACTGTTTTTGACATTTCACAACACAATTTGGACGCTTGGCAATCGGCCTTTATTTAGGATGGTCGCAGTGTCCTGGGATCACGTGATTGCTTTCTGCAATCTTCTAACGAGCCAAGTCGATGGGGAAGTCAGATTCCCTTAACAACTGCAGTGATTGGCTTAGCAACTTTGATAAGAAAGGTCGTAAAATGGTTCAAAATTCACTTAACAACTGTCTCAGCAACAGAAAATTTTGGCCTCAGTTGTGTTTGTAAGACCCGGATTACCTGTAAAACGTTAGAACAGGGGTCTCCAACCTATGGCCGTGGCCTATTGGCCACCGGGCCACATGAGTGGCTGGCTAGTGCGCGCGCATCTGTGCATGCACTCACCCCCCCCCCCGTGCTAGCATCACCGCAAGTGTCACATGGGCCTTAGTGTCACCGCAAGCGTCGTGCACAGGTGCATGTAAAGGCCCCTCCCTTTCCCTCCGGGCCCCAACCCAAACAGGCTGGGGACCTCTGTTAGAACATTAATAATAATTTACAATGAAAAGATGGGTAAGAAGGGAGCAAGACTCACAGGAGGCTAGGTGAAGCCTCAATCATGGCTGGCTGGGGAATTCTGGGAGTTGAAGTCCCCATGTCTTCAAGTTGCCAAAGATGAAGCAGCTCAAAATGACGCTTCGCCTTCCTTCTCTTACAGGGCAAGTCAATTTCGTGACCTTTGCCTACGCTTTTATGACTGATGTCTGCGTGGTGGGCTTCTTGTTCTGCCTCAGTTTCCTGCTGTTCCACAGCTTGCTGGCCCTGCGCGGACAGACCACCAAAGAATGGTTTGAAGGAAATCGCCAGTACCACCTGGGTTGGCGAGACAACCTTCGACAAGTCATGGGAGACCGCTGGCTGCTGGCCTTCCTCACGCCTTTCGTCGGTTCCCCTTTGCCAGGAGATGGAATCACTTTCCAAACCAGATCTCCGAAAACGGAAGTGCTCTCCAGACCCCGCAGTTACTAAAGGCGAGTTCTAGGATTCTATAAACAGTTAGGCAACATTGGCAGAATCCAAACATTACGTTGAACTGGTTTGTTAAAACAATAAGTGCAAAGTCACCTTGCAGAGAGGTGGGAGGCAAACAAAATAATTATAAATAAATTACTGCAATCTGTAGTGCTGCGTTCCTTGACTTAAAGCCATTTATTTAGCGACCGTTCCAGGTTACATTTCTGAAAAACGGATTTGTGAATCTCACGACAGATTCTCTCTCTTCTAGGGTTTCCCCAGTTATGAGGAAAGTTGAGCTTCTTTCAGTGATGGCTCGCTTCGTTCAAAAGCAGACGACAACTTTGGCGAAATCTCTGAAGGCTTGGCCTTACATCGTTGAAAGCTGAAAGCAATTTGATCTTGGAACGGTGGTGACAGATTCCTTCCCCCCACCCTCTCCCTGGAAAGGGGCTTGCCATGTTTTTCTTTCAGTGATCTGAAAAGAAGGAAATTGCTAATGTAGGGCAAGAGAAATTGACACTTGTGCTCAGCTAAATTGATCTAAATGCAGTGGTTTGATACTGAACCATTTTTTCTCCTGGTCCAAAGTGCACTATATATATATATATTATTTTCTCAGCTAAAAACAAAAGAAAAACACTGTCTAGAAATGGATTCAGGGACCAAAATCCAAGATTATAATGCTTTGCATTTCAGTTTTTTTTTCTTCCGTTGCAGCAATTGTGAGACTGGTTTTTTTCCCCCCCTGAGCCCTGGGATTGTGCAAAAGTCAACAAAACGTAGGTTGTGAGATACTAGGGTGGTGTTTCTCAAGTTTGGCAACTTTAAGACCAGTGGATTTCTTAACTCCCAGAATTCCCCAGCCAGCAGGCTTTAATATGGGTGGACTTCAATTCCCAAAATTAAATCATGCTGGAATTCTGGGAGATGAAATCAATCCATCTTCAAGTCATCAAGGTTAGGGGCTACTGTGTCAGAGAGATGATAACAATTTTTATCCCTTGCTGTTCCGCCTATTCCTGGCACTGTTCCAGTCACGGTATCCACCCAAATGTGTCTCTTCCTCCTCTTTTCATATCTAAAATCTCCCTATCCCCATAAACCTGGTTTGCACTGTGAGAGACCCACAAAGTGTGCGCGTGGGGGAAACCCAACATTTGCTGTATTCTTTTTTTGTTTTTGTTAATGAATTTATCCGCTGTGTTCTATGATTGTTAGTTTTATATTTTTTTAAATGCTTTAATGTTTTTATGCTGTAAGCCGCCAAGAATTGTTGGATATAAGATGGGTAGCAAATAAATTTCCTAAATAAATACGTTTAACATTTATACAGTGGCCTTTTATATTTAACGGAGCACTGATTGCGCTGTAAACTTTTCAACCTGAAAAACAGGATCTCTTTTTCCATTTCTTCAAGCCAGGGGTGCAAAATATTATCAATGGGAGGTAATTTTAACGTCAGGGTAATGCGATGGCCCTCGGTTGGTGTGAAAAAACTCCAGAAGTTCAAAAGCAGCACTGTGCTTTCCCAGATGTCTGCCTCTCTTAGTAACTATGAATTATGTTGGCCTTGGATAAATTATTAAAATTATATTGGTGATAAACTCCACAGGGAAGTGTGGGCAAATGACCTTTTTTTCTGTTTTAACATTACATCTAACTCCTTGAGAAGAGGTAAATAAATGGGGGGGAAAAGTGGCAATGCCATCCTTTTGTGTTCTCTTTGTGTTGTTGTTTTAAGAGTTCCAGGCTGTAAGCCACACCATCTCTGAGTCATTTTCCGCATCTTACAACTATGTCCATGCTGATTTTGAAAATAAATTGCCTATCCTATCTAACTCAGAACCGAAACCAAATACTAATATGGAAAATGCTGCCAGCTATGTGCCCAAATTTTAAATCCTCTTTCTCTCTTTCTCAGGGTCCAGCTTTCACAATAATGAGCATAGCTAGAGTGCAGAAATCAAGAGGGCGTGACAGAATTGTCTGTATCTTTGAGACGCAAACGTGGTTTGGATTCTTGCAACCCAGATGTAGGTTAGACGTGAATAAGACTGTTTTTTGTTTAGATCTGTTCAAGAGTCTGTTGTTTTATTTCTTTTTATGTAGTTATCAAATGTTTAACTGTCCAACTTTACAGAACAGCTCTGTTTACTGATTTAACATTCTTCCCTCAGCACTCCTCCAGGGCAGGTATAAGAGAACACCAATAGCAGAACGGGTATGTATATGTGGTAAAGGAGAAGTCGAAGACATCTCACATGTTTTATTGTACTGTGAGTTATACCGAGTTTATAGGTCAGCATATATTCTTCCCTTATTAAAGAGATTGCCAGGAAGGGCAGACAATTTTTATGTAGGCTTTCTCCTCCAGGACTCAAAACCCTTCTATCACACAAGCAGTGGCAAAATACTGTGTTGCGGCAATGTCCACAAGAAAAAAATTGGTAACAGATTTATAGCCGTCAACCTGTGCCAATTTTTTGGAGATATCTCTAATAATTTTTGGAACATTAGATTTACTCACACACTTATCGGCTTTCCACTCACGTAAACTAGGGAGTGACCCTAACATTTTGAAAACATGTATTTTCTTAACAAGGATGTTATTATTTACCATTAATGTCAGTACTATTTTTATTTTATTTTTTTCTTAATATATTGTAAAAAGTGATGTCTATTGCTGGTCTACGACCGTAATAAAGTTGTTGTTGTTGTTGTTGTTATTATTATTATTATTATTATTATTATTACTGATTAGAGCAATGTTTCTCTACTTCACCAACTTAAATCTGGCTGGATGTCAACTCCCATGTTGGCTGGGGAATTCTGGGAATTGAAGTCCACACAAGTTTAAGTTAACCCTAATAACACTGGAGTAGAGAAAGACTGATCCCTTAAACCACACCAAATATCCTGCTCGGCTAAAGCTTCCATTCGAGTCTCCTTTGGCTTCCGGGAAGGGGCTGTTGAAACACACATTGTAAAAATAATAACCAATATATATTTCTTTCCAGGGACTGAGTTCAACCTTGTGACACAGACTCGGGGTACAAGGCCCAGCTAGACTTCAAATCTTAGCGATGATGTTTCCGTGCCAACGTCCAGCCTGTCCTGTGTCTTGCCTTTATTCCAGAACCCTATGCTTTAGCTGAGCTTGTTCTGAAGGAGGACCAGTTGCTTCGGTAACCAGGGAGTAGCCAGGACTCTTCCATGTTGTCGTGGGCACCATGTTGAACCCTCATCGCCAGTCGGTGCTGACCAATGCCTGTATCAAGCCCTCCGTGGATCCCATTACTCGGACCCCCGGTACCATTTATGAACCAAAAGGGCAGGTCCGACTTTTGGGTCTGCTTTCAGAAAATACCCCGTCACAGCAGGTAGCTTGGGTTGGGCCTGGCACCATTGTCATGCGTTATGGGTTCATTTCCTGCAGAAAACTCTTAATTTGTCTTAACTAACCAGCTGGAGGAGAAGAGCAGGCAGAGCCCGGGGGTGGTGGAGTAAAGCACGTCATCAGCTCAGAATCGTTATGTTGCCATAAATGGTCTAAAACTCTAAATCCAACTCCTCTTGAATTCCATTGTTTCTTATCTAGTAACATTTTAAGACTAATGTTAGTTGACTAGACTCTTTATGTATAGGCTTGAGCAATAACATCTTACCTGTAACTTAACCTACTGTATGATCCTGTTTTTTCATTCCTGACGCTAGCAACAGCAGGATCTGTCAGTGCATTAAGCTTTGGTGGAGGCAAGGAATAGCCAAGCACCCAGGAGAGGCTGTCTAGTCTCTTTTAAGAAGAGACTGGACAGCCACTTGTCTGGAATGGTATAGGATCCCTGCTCAGGTTGGACCAGAAGATCTCTGAGGTCCCTTCCAACTCTGTTATTCTGTTATATCTTCCTAAGCATCTCCGTTGATACCCATCGAGTTCCCTCTTCCCTTTTTCTCATTTAAAAAAATTCTGTTAAAATTGTCATAAAACTAAGCCGCCCGGAGTCACCTTGTAAGGGAGATGGGCAGCATAAACACGACATAAATAAATACATGAAAACCATAAGATAACAAATAAAAATAAACGAGAAAGGGGAAGAAAGGTGTAGGCGAAGGGAAAAAGGGGGGGGGGAAGCATCGACTCCCAACCTCTTTCGGCGGAGTAAAATACAGAATTAAAACTGCAGCTTCCACTTTTTTCATTTACCAATTTAACCAATACTAAGTTTCTATAGCAACAAGCTATTCATCAGCAAAGGCTCACGTCCAGAGTTCATTGTTTTCTGCCTCGAACACCAAGTCCAAATGATATAGAGACTATATCATTTGAAGAATGGTTGCAGGAATTGGGTAAAGCCATGTCACTAGGAGGGACATGATAGCAGTATTCCAGTATTCGAGGGGCTGCCCCAAAGAAGAGGGGGTCAACTTATTTTCCAAAGCCCCAGAAGGCAGGACGAGAAACAACAGATGGAAACTAATCAAGGAGAGAAGCAACCTGGAACTAAGGAGAAACTTCCTGACAGTGAGAACAATTAACCAGTGGAACAGCTTGCCACCAGAAGTTGTGGGTGCTCCATCACTGGAGTTTTTTAAGAAGAGACTGGACAGCCACCTGAAATGGTCTAGATCAGCGGCTCCCAACCTTTAATCCTCTTAGTTGCTCTTCTCTGCACTTTTTCCAAAGTCTCAACATCTTTTTTGTAATGTGGTGACCAAAACTGGACTAGTGGTCTTTCAAGAAATCTTCTTGGATTTCTTCCTGGGGGAGGCATGCCAAATAGGGTCATGGCATCCAGCTTATTGGGCCGATCCGGAGAATCTCAGCCTTTGGCTTTCCATTGGAACATATTGCCCCCCCATAGAAGAGGCTCAGTTCAGCCGCTAAGGATTACTAAGGATTTATAAAGTGGTACTAATATTAAAATTGCCCAAGAGGAACAACATCTCCAAAGCGCCTGAAGGCAGGACAAGAAGCAACGGATGGAAACTAATCAAGGAGAGAAGCAACCTAGGTCTAAGGAGAAACTTCCTGACAGAACCATTAACCAGTGGAACAACCTGCCTCCAGAAGCTGTGAATGCTCCAACACTGGAAGTTTTTAAGAAGAGACTGGACAGCCATTTGTCCGAAATGGTATAGGGTCTCCTGCCTGAGCAGGGGGTTGGACTAGATGACCTGCAAGGTCCCTTCCAACTTTTTTATTATTATTATTATTACTATTACTATTACTATTATCTTTATTGTTATCATTATTATCATTATTATTATCTTTCTCTGTCCTTGACCCAGGAGGACTACCTGGATGCTGGCGATGGACTGCTCATCTGTATGAAACGTACTAAGAAAAAAGTCCTCCGCCCTCTCTTCAAGGGCTGCTGGGAACCCGAACAAACCGTCCCAGATGTCAGTGAAGCCTCGGATGCCGAGCCGGATCAAGACGTAAAGAGGCAAGTTTCGTGAACTCTTCCTCTGGTTAATCCTGGGGCAAGGCCCCCTTTTTGAAATTAGGTTGCTATCCGTGACCCTAGGATTGCGGGTTCTCCAGGAACGTGAAGCCAGCTGTAAGGGGGTTTGTGTAGGTCTATGAAAAAAAAAGCTCAGGGTATGTGTGCAGCTGTGTGCAGTGGTATGTGGGAAAGACCTTGGGAGACAGGCGAAGAGGGGCTGCTAAGGGAACGGGCGGATAAGAGGCAGCTGAGCCCACAGCTGCATAATGGATGGAGAAGGAGGGTGAGAAGGGACCCTCCCTAGTTTCTCAGGCTGTAAAGGGGGGGAGAATCTAGATCTATGGAAAACAGTTCAGACTGTGTGCAGGTATGTGTAAGGATATCTGGGGAAGACCTTGGGAGACGGAGCAAAGAGACCCTGCCCAAGAACGGTCAGAGAAGAGACAGCAGAGCCCTCAGCTGTGTAACAGACAGGGCAAGAGGCTCAGAAGGGACCCTCCGTAGTTTCTCAAGCTGCACTGTGCAAGATTCTGTCAACCTAATTTCACAACAGAGTAGAATTAGCTCCTCTGTTTCGTGTCTTATCTGGTTGACCCTCTGAGGCCCAGAGCCCGTGTGCAGGATCCGTGTCTGATCTTGGCTCCACTTTCCCCTAGGCAGCTGGAGCCTGCCCCTCAGGAGCAGAGCAATGAACCTCCTCCGCCTCCTTCCGAAAACCCCAAAATGTCTTCTCGCCAAGGCTCCTTCCCCTTTCACTGGATGTGGGAGAGCTTTTCCATCAAGGGCCAGACCATCTGCCAAGACCAGGATTTGGATAAGTCCAAGAAGCTGACCTTGCCACGCGCTTCGACCGCCCCGCCCCGGGAGCCCCCTTACAACCCTGACACGGTCTTGGGCTGCCCAGCTCCCAAAGAGGGCCCCTGCTTGGGGGTCCCCAAGTCTTCCAGAACTCCGGAGGTCCCCTGCAGCAGACCCCAGAGGTATCTGCCCCACACGAGCTTGGTTCCTAGGAGCTCTCTCCTGCCTCTCTTCTGGAAGATGGAGGCCCGGTCAGAAGCCCGGAAGCGGCAGATGCGCCAGGAACGTCGCCGTTGGCTGAATCTCACCCAGCAGCTCCTGAACCTGGAAGGGCAGCGTCTCTCACGGGAAAAGCTCCTCTCGCTGGAGGAGTTAGAAGAGAAACTTCGAGCGGAGATGCTCTGCTTAGCCACGGAGCCCGAAGAGCCGGGCCCTCAAAAGGAGAAAAGGAAAGCCAAGACGCGTGGCCCCACGCCCAAGGAGGAGCTGAGCTTCAAGCCAGTCATTAATCAGAAGGTGCCCAACTTCAAGCAGCTGCAAAGGCGCTTCCAAGAACAGCTGGAGCAGAAGAAAGAGCAAGGTGGGTGCTGGAGACCCTGACTGACAGCAGGGGTTCATGAGGGCTAGGAAGGGGGAGGGGAGCCAGCAGCCAGGTGAATGATAGCAATAACACCTAGACTTATCTACTGCTTCACAGTGCTTCTCAGCCTTCTCTAAGCGGTTTACAGAGTCGGCATATTTGCCCCCAACAATCTGGGTCCTCATTTTACGGACCTCGAAAGGATGGAAGGCCGGTCAGGATTGAATTCCTGGCAGTCGGCAGAGTTAGCCTGCAATACTGCCTTCTGACCACTGCGCCACTATGAGAATGGAATGGAATGGAATAATAGAGTGGAGTGGAATGGAATTGAATTAGAATTAGAATTAGAGTTAGAGTTAGAGTTAGAGTTAGAGTTAGAGTTAGAGTTAGAGTTAGA